CAATCTATCTTAATATGTTTAGTACGTTCGTGAAAAACAAGATTTGCTGCTCTTGTATTCAACTTCTGCTGTGCACAATTACAGGAGTTATTATCTCACCATCCAATTCTTTCAACAAAGAGTCAGCCACACTACTTCAGAAACAACATTTGCCATGCTCCTGTATTCAGCTTCTGCTGAACTCCTGGACACCACACTTTGTTTCTTTGACTTCTAAGAAATCAGTGAGCTCCCATGTTTGATCACAAAACCTGAAACTGACCTTCTTGTGTTTAGGCAAGAAGCCCAGTCTGAATCACAGAAGTCTGTCAGTGAATTGGAGGCCTTGCTACTCAATAATATACCTAGAGTCGTCTTTTTTTTATATACTTCATGACCCTAACTGCTGCATCCCAGCGAGATTGTTTAGGTTGTTGTAAAAACTGACTAAGTGTCTGTACAACATAACTTATGTCAGGTCTTGTAAGTGTCAAGTATAACATCTTCCCAATTAACCTTTGGTACTTTGTCTTGTCTTCTAACATGTTATCATCTGCTTTTTGTATCAACTCATCAAGTTCTGGTGTTGTTAGCTTTGTATTAACCTCTAGTGGAGTCCATGCTGGTTTGACAAATCCTATCCCACGTTCTGAAATGATTTCTAGAGCATACTTTCTCTGGTTTTTCAGAATACCTTTAGAAGATCTGTGAAACTCCATTCCAAGAAAGAATTTCAGTGTTCCTAAGTCTTTGATCTTGAAGGCTTCATGTAAGGATGGTTTGGTTTCCTTAATAGCAGAGATACTGCTACCTGTTACCAACATATCATCCACATAGACCAAAATAATGACAATATCATTCCCTTTCTTCCTTATGAACAATGAGTGATCCATACAACTTTGAACAAAACTTGAATGGACCAATGCCTCAGATAATTTCAGGTTTCACTGTCTGCTAGCCTGTTTTAACCCATATATGGATTTAACAAGTCTACAAACAATGCCACTAGACTCCCCCCCCTAACTTGGTAATCCCTGAGAAAGCTGCATGTACACCTCATCATCTAAATCACCTTGAAGGAAAGCATTATAAACACCCAACTGATGAATATGCCAGTTATGTTGAGCAACCAGACCATTGGGGAAAATGTTTCATGGTAGTCTAAACCTTCCTGCTGATTATATCTCTTAGCCACCAGCCGGGCTGTGAATCTCTCCACCTCACCAGAAGCCTGCAACTTAACCTTATACACCCATCTACATCCAATAGCCATATTGCCTGGAGGTAAAGGTACTAAATTCCAAGTATGGTTGAGCTGAAGAGCCTCCAACTCAGAAGTCATGACATCAACCCACTTGTTATACTTAATAGCCTCATGATAAGACCTAGGCTCCTGGATATGAGATAGAGAACTGAGAAACACCTGATGAGCTGGTGAAAGAGTTTCATAGGAGAGATAGGCACTGAGTGGATAAGTAACATGGGCAATCTTTTTGGTGACATAATCAACATTCCAAAGGGGTGCCTTAGATACTCTTTGTGACCTCCTAGGTTGAGAAGGAATAGAGACAGGCAAGGTTGTATCTGGAGATGCAGTGGAAACAACAGGAGATGGAGAAGGATGTGATGAATTAGAAAACTGTGTAGGCAGTGGACTTGCAGGATCACTAACAGTTACAGTGTTAGGAGGGTCATCAATAGAGGAAATGTCATTAGGAGGGAATGATTCAGAAGACTAAAAAAACTGATCAACCTGGGGGACAGACTCAGGAGATGACTGAAAAGGAAAAACATGTTCCCTGAAAGTGACATCCCTATTGACAATTTTTTTTTTGTGCAGGATCAAATAAAATATATCCTTTGGTAGTAATAGAGTAGCCCATGAACACAGAAGCCGCTGCTCTAGAAGCAAATTTATCCTTTCTAGGCAAAGCACTAGCATAGCACAAACATCCAAAAGTTCTTAGATGATTAACTGAAGGTGGCTTCCCAAAAATCAATTCATAAGGGGATTTACCACTAAGGACTGTTGATGGTAATCTATTAATTACATAAGCTGCAGTGAGAATGCAATGACCCCAGAATCTGATAGGAACATGTCTTTGAAATCTAAGGGCTCTAGCTACTTCAAGTAAATGTATATGCTTCCTCTCAGCTACACCATTATGCTGAGAGGTATAGACATAAGTTTTCTGATGGACACTACCAAGTTCTTGAAGGAATTGTTGCATCTCAGAATTCACAAATTCACCACCATTATTTGTTCTAAATCATTTGAACAGTAGCCTGGAATTGAGTGTGTATCAATTTTAGAAATTGCCTCAATACTAATATAACATCACTTTTAAACTTAACAGAAAAATCCAGGTAACATGAGAGAAGTCATCAACTATAGTCAGAAAATGTTTATTCCCATCAAAAGTTTCAGCATGATATGGTCCCCAAACATCTAGGTGCAACAGTTCAAGCACTTTAACAGATGTACTAGTAGAATGAGGAAAGGAAAGTCTAGTGTGCTTAGCTAGAGGACACATTTCACAATCAGCTACAATTGATTTACACTCATCTAGTTTATAACTAAGCAAAATGTTTCATGGAAACACTAGAAGGATGGGCAAGCCTTCTATGCCACAACAATATATCTTCATGTTTCTTCTCTGCAACATGAACTCTGTGAACTTTTGCATTTGAATCATCACTGAAATGTGTGTCATATTGTGGTGAGAACATTATGTATAAACCATCACTCTCCTTACCAATGCCCTTCAAGATCCCACTGGTAAGGTCCTGGAACAAGCAGAAACCAGGATAAAAAGAGCAAAACAATTGAGCTACTTAGTTATCTTTGAAACTGATAAAAGATTATACTTAAAATCAGGTATGTACAGAACATTTTCAAGCACTCCTATATCTCTCAAACTGCACTTTCCTGTGTGAGACACCATTGTCACTTCACCATTAGGCAAATGGACCCATTTTATGATGTGTTCTGACATGTTCTATGCCAGTCATTGTATCTAAACTAGCAGTCATATGATTTGTAGCTCATGTGTCTATTATCCACTTTATCTGCTTTACTGTGGATAAAGTTTTGAAGTCAATACCTGCCATATGAGACATGTGATTTCTGGTTGCTTATCCTTGTCAAGCATCATTTTGATATTGTCTTATTGGTTCTCAGTCAAGTATGGTGCTCTTTGAAGATCTCCTTTTCCAGTTGAACATTCAGTCTTGTACCTTACACACACATTTGGATGTATATTTTCACTTTGAGCATTATAAGCAGTAGCTTCTCCTTGATACCTATGTGCACCAGTGTCTTCATTTCGAACATTGTTTGCATTAGAGAACTCTTCCTTCTTCTTGCCTTTATATCCTGGTGGGTATCCAACCAATCTATAACATACATCATTTGTGTGACCTTTAAGCTTACAGTGATCACATTGAAGAATCTAATTCTTTGGCGGTCTGTGATAAGAGTTTCCTCTCCCTGCCATCATGGATCCTAATTCAACTATTTCTCCTGAATTGACAATCGACATTTGACTCTCTCTTTCGATCAACATGGAGTAGGCCTTATTGATATTAAGAGTTGGACTAGTCATCAGTATTTGGCTCCTAGCTTGTTCATAGTTCTCATTCAGTCCCATAAGGAATTGCATCACCTTTAATCTCTGTATATGCAACATAAAATCCTTGGATTTAGCACAATCACAAGGAGGTGGTGTCATTCTATCAAATTCTGCCCAGAAATAACTCAGTTTTGAGAAATAAGTTGACACATTATCAGTTCTTTGAATCAAAGTTACCATATCTTTATGCAGTTGGTAGACTCGCGAAGTGTTCACTTTATCAAACATCTCCTAAAGATCTTCCCAAATCATCTTCGCATTTTCTGCATAGACAATCCCTGCATGTAGTTCCTTTGTCACTGATCCCGGTATCCATCCAATCACAATGGCATCACATCTATCCCATTGGTGAGCTAAATCTGAAGAAAAATCCTATTTCTTCCAGGTTCCATCTACAATCCCCAGCTTGTTCTTTCCAAGCAATTGGATTCGCATTGACCTGCTTCAGATCGAGTAATTTTCAGATCCTGTTAATTAGATATGAACAATTGGACCTCCAGTTGTATCTGAAAGATGAATGAAGAGTACATGTGTGTGGTCGATCTTCGTGGCTGCCATTAGTATTCTGCTTCAGAAATCACACTTATCTTCCAATTACAATGCTCCTCTATCTAAAACAACCGATTCAAACTCACAATAGTGGTCATACGCTCTGATACCATGATAAATTCTATGAACAGTTAACACTCAATTAACTAGACTTCCATTAATAGCCATTAGAGAAAGCTCTGCTAAGAAGAAAATAGAGAGAACTTTCATTAAAAGAAAATGAGTGAAAAATTGATATATTGTATTAGTACATCATTCTGTATATTTACAGCATCATCTAACAAACTTTAACTAAAATCTACTAACTGTACTAACAAACTTGCCTAACAAATATCTATTATTGATATTGACTAACTTGCCCTTTATACTCATTTCATCATGTTATGCTTATTTCTTCATAGCTAACCTGAAAATTTATGAGATCAAACTAAGAAAAGAGTGTGTGAAACAAAAAAAAGTTTACTAGAAAAAATAAGAGAAAAGAAAAGGAGCTTTTATATATCCATCTATATGAGGAGTGAGGTGGCTTTAGTCAAAAGAGATAAAGCCACGTAGCTAATGTATTGGCAATTGAAGGAAAAACCACATAATATTAAGGGTGAACTTCTTTAGAAGCATAGAACTTAAAATGACAAATATACCCACAATTTGAAATTTAATAACAAAAAACAAACATGTTAAATCACAAACATTAGGGGCATTTTTGTACAAATAAGAAAAGTAGGAAAATATAAATAAATTTCAACTTCTCTGTCCTGCATTTCGGGTAAAATCTTAGTGTCTCTGGCTTTCGATCTCTCTGACTCTCAGTACTGGTAAGTAAGCATCTTATATAATCTCTGATTATTTGCTCTCGAATTTTAGTTATTTGTTGAATAATCAATCAACTTATCATGAATACATCAAATTAGTTTTTTTTGGGGATTTTTTCTTTTTTTATGGATAATCATGTATCTGTCTGCTAGTTTAACCGACTAATTCTCCATTACCATAAGTTGTCCAAATCATCTTGTGTTTTGATACCGTTGGAATTTGAACCTTAACTATGGTGATTTTCAACCCACTTTATTGATTAACTGGCCAGAAATGGTGTGGTAATATCACCGGAAGGTTAATTCCTGATTCTTTTTGAACTGGAGAAATCACGAGTACTTGGGGGATAATGGACTTGCTCCTCTATGATTCTCCACTTAAATATTAGGTTAGGGTTTGAACTCTATTGCATGTGAGAATTAGGGGTGGATATTGGTAAAACGATCACAAGTAACTAATTAGGACATGTTACAAAAGAATTGGATTAGTAATATTTGGTTATACGTCTTTTAACAAAGGCAATCAGGAAACAATTTAAACATTTGGTTTCCACATGTATTAATTGTTAATGGCCTGGATGAACCTTTTTTTCAAACAGAAATGTGGATCTTAATCTTGCATTACTCCGATCCCCTGGATGTTCTTGCTCCTGTTTTTATTTCTTAAGGTGTTATTAACTCATTGTGCTTGCTCTTCTAAGTCTCTTTTATCTACTAAGCTTCATCATTGTATACAGTATATAGTAGTACTATCTTTGGAAGTTATAACGATGTGACCGCTTCTTCCTCAAGCTCAAACATTGAGGAACCTTGGCTAATGCAAGGAGGAAAATCCATATATAAGTTTTCAATAGATTAGATGGCCGGAATATCGAGAAGAGTAATGAAACCTTTGTAGGAGTTAATGGGCTAGCTTTTTCGATACTAGTGGTTTTTAAGTTCGCTGTCATCCTATCCTTCCGTGGTGGAGCCATGTTTATTGAAGGGGGTTCAACTGAATACCATTTTGCCAAAATATTGTATTGTGTATGTAGGTTAAATATTATTTTATGTGTACATATATACTTGTTGAATCCCCTGCACACAGGAGAACATTTTTTTGAATCCGTCAATGAAAATCTTGCCTTCACCACTATTGTCTTCAAATCTATGTTCTTTTGTGGCGCTCAATCATGTATCATTATTTTCTCTCTATGATATTGGTTAATGATAAAAAATTTATGCAGTTGCAGATGTTGAACCACTAGTATTTGGATATTGCCTTTAGCCCTGATTTTAATTTTCAGAGTTGTTGACAAACTTGTTTTGTTAGACCATGAGGAATGCTTCGACATCTGGTGTAGATACAATTGGCAATTTGCCATGTAGTGTACTGGATGCAATTCTAAGGTGCTTGCCTTGGAGAGATGCAGTGAAGACCAGTATCTTGTCAAAAGACTGGAGGTACAAATGGGTAACACGTCAAGAACTTGATTTTAATGATGAGTTTTTCAAGTCTTTCAAACAAGACAAAGAAGCCAAGAGAATTATTTACCAAGTCCTGTTAGTCCATAAAGGACCAATACTGAAGTTTAGACTCCGTAATTTTACGAGTTGTCCTGATATTGATCATTGGATGCACTTCTTGTCGAAGAAAAATGTCCAGGAGTTCACCCTTCATGTACGCTTAGGAAACAAATATCATTCACCTCATCATCTTTTTACATTCCAGCAACTAAGGTATTTGGAACTTCAAGATTGTTTGTTCCACCCTCCACTCGGTTTTAAAGGGTTTAAGAAGCTTATTAATCTCGATCTTATGCATGTCACTTTTGATCCATCAATATTAACAAATCTCATCTCTAAAAGCCCGTTGCTTGAACGGTTGAGGTTGCGTACCATCACAAACTTTGACATCCTTGAAATTGATGCTGCTAATCTCAAATTCTTTGAGTTTATTGGAAAAACAAAATCCATTTCCTTCAAGAATGCTCCTATGCTTGAAAAAGTTACTGTGGGTTTCCTTGGACGACGACTTTTGACGGATACATCTCCTGTTTGCTCTAATTTCCCAAAGTTCTTCCATTACATTCCTTCACTGCTGGAACTGGATATATGCGGTACAACATTAGAGGTAATGTACATTTGTGATATTACTATCATAACTAAATGATGAATCTGATTGGTGTCTTAAAGTAATTTATGACTTTCTTGTAGTACTTGATCAAGGGAGGTTTACCAGTGAGTCCCCCAACTGCTCTGAACAATATCAAATCTATCACTATTTTGTCCATGTCTTTAATAAACTCCGAGGTGGTTGCAAGTGCAGTTTACTTGATTACAAGCTGTCCTAAATTACAAGATCTTACAATTGATTTTGTAAGCACTCTCTTGTTTTTTTTCATTAAGGTGATTGAATATGGTTTCTTAATTCATCTGAACTCACCTAATTAACCGTTCCTCAAAAATTCTTTAGTACCCTGTGGGGATATTGTTGAACCTGCTGTACAGTTGCTACGAGCCCAATCATCCTCATATGGTGTTTGTGTAAGCTTCAAAGAGTTCGAGTGAACATGTTTACTGGTCTCAAAATGGAAATGGAGTTTATGAAGTTTTATATTGGCATCTGCACCTGTACTTGAGGAGGTCTCCATTTGGAATTTTACACGTTACCTTTTTCGTTCGTGTAAACAAATGATCGATGGGATGAAAGAATTCGGCAGAGCATCACCCAATGTTGAATTCACATTTGAAGAAATCGATATGGAAGGTGGATATGAACATGAAGAAGTCATGGAAGTGCCATGATTTTGCTAACATATTATTGTTTTGTAGCATTTAGTTTGCCTGTTACGCACGCCCTGTCTGTCTAATATTATGTAGTATATATGTGCTTGGCTAAGTTAGTTCTAACTGTTTCAAGAACTATGACTCTACTTGTAATGGTCACTGTATTATTATGTTATTCCCATCATTTTGGCCCCTGTGTTATACAATTATGCATATTTGATCTTTAATTAACTTAAATGTGTAGTTTTTGTCTATAATATTATTGTTTAGTCGTCGAAACTTGAAAAAAATCTGGCTAGTAAGTGAAATATGCGTATAGATAAGTAATTTTTTTTTTCGGTTAAAAAAATAAATGATGAAAAGACGATTTTATTATATAATTTTTTAATACTAGTTGATTGACTACGAGTGAATTTGACCAAACATGAATGAACTTATAATTTTTATTTTTTTTAAGGTATAATACATAAATATGCCCTTTAACTTGGTCTGGGCCTATATTTATGTCTTTCAACTTTGAATGTGCACAAGTAAACACTTAAACTTGTATAGAGTTGAATAAATAGACACGCATTCTATGTGTCATCCTACATGACAATATGAGTCCTACATGATGTCCTACATATATTACGCCACGTAACTTTATACAAGTTAAAGATCTACTTGTGCACACCCAAAATTGGAGGGCATAAATGTGAAATAATATCAAAATAAAGGTATACTTATGTATTATGCCTTTTTAAAAATATAATCAAGAACAAGTCAAATTTCAATTCAGGACAAGACACTTGAAAGAGGATTTTTGTATATAACCTTAAAAATTAAGCTTACATGCATGTACGTTTCATTTTTAAGATAGGTAGCAATATCATCCTCTAAACATTAGAAACCTCAAACGTTTATTTATTCAACACTAATGTGAATATAAGAAGTTTGTTTTGAATTCAATAGCCATAATTCATTTGATGTACGGAAAGGATTAAAATTGATTGAAAAACTATCAAGTTTGCCACGTTAGTATAGTCTTTGTTAAACAAAATTCATTGTTTAGGCAATATGTAGTGATTAAAATTAATTAAATGAACTGTTAGAAATGAAATGAAAAATCAATAACTCATCAATTTTACGGTTTCATAAAAATGATCAAGTTAATTGAGTTGGTTCATCATCATCCTCCATCCAACTTACTCTTAGCAATAATCAAAGAACACATACAAGCCAAATATTTCAGTCACTACAGAGCTTTGTTTGGAGAATGTGATATGACTATTTAATGGCCAATATCTTTACAATAAGTTTGTTAATCAACAAAGAACTAAGAGTAGTGTACTTTTATGAGTTATGCCCCATTGGCCGGATATTCTTATATTACGTTTGTCAATAAACAATTATCGACTGTGCACTCTGAAGAGTTGTGAAACTATGTGTATTTAATGTACACATTACTGTACAAACATACATATATTATGGATGTGTTGCAGCCTCATTGGCAACTAAATAGATAAACACTTTGCTGTGATGGACAACATATGTTGGCCTTTTTGGCATCTAAATGACCAAAATTTATGGAATTTAGTCCGACTGAGTTGCAGTCCAGATGGACATTCTCTTGTTTTGTGCCTACACCATATGAATGTCTTGTTTCTGCAAAATAAAACAACAAAATTTATCCAATAAATTTGAAACAACAGAAAACAGTCTATTACAAACTGACTTCGATAGCCAGATTTAATTTTTACGAAACAATTATAATAGCGGCCACAACAAATTGAATTCAAAATACTAAAGGGTCATTTCCTTGTGGCACTACTTGCTAACAGAAACATAGCGCAACATTTGTACCAAAATAAATATTCAAGAACATCCAAAAAGTTTATCATGTACTAAATAATATGTTGTGAATCGAAAACACTCAAATACAATGTTTACTTTCGAAGTTGCACAGGTAAATTAACAAAATGGAAGAATCATTACAAGAGAAGATTTACTACTTCAAGTAAATTCATTTTGCTTTCTTTTTTAAATAAAAATTATGCAAGAGATAAAATAGAGAACTCATAGCAAAAGAAGGTTTTACTACCTTACATAAATCGATTTTTTTGATTTGTTTGTATAAATGAATTCATTAGAATATACGTGTATCGATTTGATCATTTTATGCCAGCAAGAATTATTATAGACGAATCTAGCAAAACAAGAACAAAATTCTATTTAGGAATTTAATATACCGAAAGATCTAAAGACATCAAAATATCCTCTAACATTCAATTTGTGAACTGTAAAAATGATGTCCACCATGAAGTATCATTTCTCTTATTCTAATCTTTTTTATTTACAAATAATGAGTATAGAGAGTACTGAAATGATATGAAAAGTTATAAGGAAAATAAATTTTTGATTCTCTTTTATGACAGTAAAAAATATAGATAAAAGTAAGAAGATAGTAATAAATTGAGTAAAAAGTAAAAGGAAAGTAAAAAATTAAAAGAACTACCATAAAAAGAAAACATGGAAAAGGAAAAAGAAGTTAAAAGAGTTACTTTTTATTTTACTTTATACGTAGTCACTTCTCTCTCTTTCTACTTTTTTTATTTAACATTTGAAATATGAAATTATAAAAATATATCAATTAAACTTAATATATATAACTACTTAAAAAGTAAATAAGATTATAGTTTATAGTATTTTTTGAATTTTTTTAACATAGTACATAAATAACAAAAAAATATATGAAGTCAAGAATAGGAGAAAAAAAACCTTTCCACTTTTTCCTATACTCTCCCAATTTCTTAAAATCTCTAAGGTAATTTTTTCCCCCAATTCTTTCAAATTCCTATGGAATTGTGAGGAACAAAGATGAATATTGATAGCGGGAGCTTGTCAAGCGATATTCGAGTTTTGCTTGTCGGAGAACATTGAAAAATAATCTAAAAGGATCTATTTTGCTTGCTTCGCCGAAGCTCGCTGGTTGGAGCAGTGCAGCCGCAAGGTTTTGTTGTTGTTGTTGTCGACCTTGTTGTGAGAACAGAGGTAGGTCTTTATGGTGGTTGTCTCGGAATGGGAGAGAGATAAGAGGAGAGGGGAAGAGGAGAATGAGGTTTTGTTGATGGTTTGGATTTCGCCGAAGGCGGCGACAGTGGTGGCTGATGGTCGAGCAACAAAAGAGGGAGAACAAACGAAAGCACTAGCAATGCCATTAATGGAGGTCAATTGAGATTGAATCCTTTTATTGATTAATTAAGGAAGATGACTATTTTCTCAGAAATTTTCGTCAAAATTCACCTTCTAACGCGCCTAGAGAAGGTGAGAACACCTCCCATGACAGGTCAGCACTTGGGTGTGTATAAAATAGAGAATTATAAAGTTCAGGTGGGTAATAGGACACCCGTGAAGTTGGAGTGTGCAGTTGGAATTTCGGGTATAGGTTGGGGGGGTTTTAGACCATTTTCTCTAATAAAAATTGAGTAAAAAGTAAAGGAAAGAAAAAATTTGAAAGAACTACCATAAAAAGAAAACACAGAAAAGAAAAAGAAGTTAAAAGTACTTTTTATTTTACTTTATATCTGTAGTCACTTCTATCTCTTTCTACTTTTTTAATTTAACATTTGAAATATGAAATTATAAAAATATATACCAATTAAACTTAATATATATAACTACTTAAAAAGTAAATAAGATTATAGTTTATAATATTTTTTGAATTTTTTTAACATAGTACATAAATAACAAAAAAATATATGAAGTCAAGAATAGGAGAAAAAAAAACTAATTATAATATTTAGTCAAAGAGATATTTTTGGCAAATTTTATAGATCAAAAGGGAAAAAAATAAGGAAATAATAGAAATTTCATGAATAATAATAAATTATGATAATAAGGAAGAGTGATGGATGATATTATTTTCTTTAAAAAAAACTTTAAAAAATAGAAGATAGAAAGAGGAATTTAAGAAAATAATAATAAATAGTAATAATATGAGGGGAGAGAGATAAATAAGGTATTTGTTTTTTTTTTAAAAGAAATAAACTGATTTTATAGATCAAAAAAAGATATTTTTTGTGAATAATAATAATAAATCATGACAATAAGGATATATTTAAGTAGGAGAGATAATAAGATTTTCATTTTAAAAAAACTACTAAAACGGTAAAAAAATGAAATTAAGAATAAATAATAAATTATAGTAATGATAAGGAGATATGAAAGGCAATAAATCGTAATAATGATGAGAAGAGAGATAAATAAGGTAAATATATTTATTATAATATAATAATATAAAGGTGAGTATCATAACTAAGTTAAAAAATATTGTATTAAATAAGACACTATTTTATAACTTTTTTGAGTTTATGATAATAAGGTGGAGAGATATAAGATTTTTTATTTTTAAAAAACTATAAAATGGAAGGTTAAAAACGATTTAAGAAAAAATAATGAGTAAATTGTAGTAATGATAAGGAAAGATGAAAGACAATAAATTTGTAGTAATAATGAGAAGAGAGATAAATAAGGTAAATATATTTATCATAATTTTCTACTATATTATAAAAGAGAGTTTAGGGCCAAGTATAATATATAATATTCAAGATTGAGACTTTTCCCAATCTTGAATATTATATATTATACTTG